GCATTGGCATTTGCTGAGAAAAGGAAGCATTATTTCCTTGCATCATATCTGCAGACTCACATGTACCATCAAGTGGCACTTGGTCCATCCCTGACAGCAGTGAAAGGCCCTGGCTGGGATGAGAGAGGGTGTCAATTTCCTTCTTGGCAAGCAACTCCCTGGAAAATTCCTTAGGCTAAGGTTTCTCCAGAGGCTGCCCCCTTGACAAGGAAGGGCCACTTACCTTTTTTCTACTTCTCTCAAAATTTGTATTAACTGGCAGGGAAGACTCTAGTCAGAATTATAACAAAAGGATAGAATCTATCATTATCCAGCTGTGTTCCTCATCCTCTGAGTCCCTCCTACCTCAGCAACTCAGTCCCCAGGAGCTTTTTGCATTTTATTTCTTCCCTCTTCCTTGGTCAAAGCATGCCCAAGGTCACCTGACTCTTTATAAAGGATATAATATGCAAATTCATCCTTGGAATGATTGGAATAAAAGGTATCTCAGAATTCGATACTGGATCAACCTTGTGAGAAATTTCTTTGGGTGGTGTCTGCCCAGGGCTACTCAATACAGTCTTGTTACTTAGGCTGCCTACAATCAGCTGCTTGGATGTGTTCGAGCATCTTCTAATTATAGCCCTCCTTCCTACCTCAGTTCTCTAGGTCCAGGAAACCACTCAAATCTACAAAAACTAGAACTCAGAGGAAAATATTACAGAAGAGTTGGCTACATCCCGTGGGATTTCAAGGCCAGCTTTAGACAGCAATCAGCAGAGAAGAGAAAATTCAGCTGACACACCGAAGGAGAATTTGGTTGTCAGAATTAGGGGGGGAAATCTGTAGATTGTTAAAATTTTCAAGTTAAGAGGGAGCTTAGAGGGCCTCCAGTCCAATATTTCCACTCTGTTTTTACGGTACCAAACAGCGATCCTATGAAGAAAATCGTCCTTGATTTCTCAGAAGCAGTTGCCAGGTCTCCACCCTAGCTGTCCAGAGCCTATAATTTTATAGAGGAATTTGGCACGTTATTTTCAGGACTCATTTACTCTCCTTTTTCAAAAGGGGAATCAGGCTCATCAATGCTTTCCACATTGCCATCTTTTAGTTTCTATAGTGACGGCCTGGGAAGAATTGTCCAGTATTCACTCGGACTATTGAAACCTGGCCCATGCAGGTTTGGGTTTTCTCTTGACTCCATAAAAGTTTCATTGATCTTTAAGACATTTACTTAACTCGCCCTGCAACCAGGAGGAGTCAGCTTGAAAGTCCGTAGGCACATGCATTGAGTGTTGCTCATGATACAGCCATTTGGTAGAAGTGATACTCGTTTTATTTGGCTAGGAGAAGAAAAAAAAAGGGTAGGCAGAAGGTGCCTTAGTGTCTGTGCTCCTAAGTTGCAGCCGGAGGGCAGCAGTACTGTACACCCAACCTGTTATACTGGTTTGATGTGCATGCTTACTTTCTGTGGTGGAAAAATATTTCTGCATTCATTGTCCTAAACCATGCCTGTGAGTGCCTTGAAATCTTTCTAAAACTCCAAAGAGGACTAACCAGTTTGCGAGTCTCCCTTCCCAGCTATCACCCTTTAACAGCATTCTCAATTAAGAGACTTGCAAGGGTTCCTCTTTCCGGAGGAAGACTTTCCCTGGCTCATAGTGATAGTTGGAACATGAAGAACTCAGACATTTTGGAATTGATATTTGCCTATTGAGGTAGCAGGGCATTTTGGAGTTGACGCTCTGCTGGAGCAATCTTATCTAAGGACAGATAAGATCGAGCACAATTGGAGCACATAAGATTGCAGAGAATGTTAAGGCATGAAACCCAAGGTGAGTGTGACCTACACGGTAAGGGTGCAGGTGAGGAGAGCTTGGGGATTTCCTCAGGTGTAAGGCAGAATCCTTGGAGCAGGCAAATGAGAGTCAGAGATGAACTCTGACATGATATATAAGAAGTAGTTAATGAAAACAACATAAC